TGATATACGTTCATCTTTATTCTTCTTTAAACTGAAGAAATCAGCTCTTGATCATGCCATTTTCTCCTATTATAACTTCCTAATTTTCCTTTTTAAATTCAAAGTGCGTGTAAATACATTGCACAAATATCTTCAAGCTCTTTGATTCCTGTGCCTGCTATGCTTTTCTGTAAATGAGCTTAATAAAGTCACTAGTAGCCACTTCCTAGTTAGCAAAAACTAAACACCTCTCTCCTGTTTCCTTTGATCTCCATCATGCTTTATTGCATTTTCTAGTTCATGGATCTCTTAATTATCAAGGCCTGAAATAGTTCAGAATTTAGGTTAACCTTCAGAAGCCTGCATATTACCAAGCTGGAGGGCTGTAATTCTCCATCCATCTCCTATTCAACAGCTTGTGCCACCAGCTGATATCCGCTATTCACAAATCTCTTAAAAAGACATTTCAGAACAGAAGAGCAGCAATTTCAATTTTTTTCTCTGGTATCTTCACCTTTTGAGAATTACGGGTAAGATGGCCCCTGTTCACTGTCCTCAGTCCATGCAGAGGGGTCCAGGTTCTTCTCTTTCTTCTCTGGTGGAAGATGTTGCCTTCTGAAACCTATATTAACAGTCTAAGCAGGAGTAAGGAAGAAATAACACAAATGAGAGTGTAGTATATATAAATGAAAAATCCACAAGAATTTTAAAAGGAGGTAAAGAGACCAATAAGTAAGGAAAAAATATTTTCATGTTTGGCAAATGTGTATAAATCAACTCAATGGCAGAGTTGAGGGAGAAATTAAAGGCAGTCTAAGGGTATTGCAAGGGAGCTAGGTGATTTCACATAAATAGATCCTGGTAAATGTATAGCCTAGGCATATTCTTTGTCCATAAGAAAGGTAAAGTGCTTGAAGATCAAGCAGATTATCAAAAATCAGCAAGTAACCAGGACTGAATGGTACGCAGACTGTAGTTCTTGAAGTGTTTAACTGACCTACTGATAAAAAATAATCAATCTCTTGTTAAAATCAGCAGCTGCTGTCAAAATAGTACATACTGTACCTGGGTTTCAGAATAACACTATAGGCTGATTTTGGAACATAAAAATCAATTTATTAATAAATAAATTATAATAACTCTGATAAATTACTTGAAACCACTCTGGGCATCTTTATAAATTAACTCTATTCATTATATAATTGTGTTAAAAATGACTTGAGATTCATAACAGGACACAAAACAATGCAAAAAGTATTGTTGTGTTTTCATATATTCAGTGCTAGGCCCTCACCCAATCAACAATGTTTCACTACAGTTGCTTATATATAAGAGGAGACTGGGGAAAAAAGGTATGGTATTACTTAACACAGATATGAATAGAATGGGACATAGTAAGTAGCACAGGAAATAATTGTAGCCTTTTGTTTCCTAATGTTAAAAACCAAAAGATAAAATATATTTTAAAAAATGATGGCAAGAAATAGGTTTACATATACCAAAGTTAATTTGAAGAACTTACTGTCTTGAGATAAATTTGAGAACATAAGCTTCACACATAGCATTATAATAGGATTTTATGCTTACACAAAGAACAGGAATACCTGTATTTAGACTAGATTGAAAACTAACTAAATCAGAAATTGAAATCCTTGTGTTTCAGATCATAGGGCAACTATGAGAATAGGAAGGATAATATTCTAATGACAAGTTGTGCTGTTAAGAGTTTCTTGAAAAAAAACAAACATTTCAAACCTGTGGCTGTCGAAGACATTGGATGAATGAGAGATTTGGGTTTTGGCCAGTTTCTCTGTTCCTACCTACATGTACTCTGGTGTACAAAGTCCCTTTAAAGCAAAGACTCCTGAAATTTTTGCAGCTTAGCCTCACTTCAGAAAATCAAGGATGTTTTGTGCCCCACTGAATATACCTTTCACCCTTTGCTTCCCTGCATCTCAATTATACAGGCAGCTAGTGAGGACAGAGCATATTCACCTGGGCTCCACACCCTCTAAGGCACTGCAGTGTACAGTCAGTTTACTGGCTGAGATCAGTTGCTGTACGGAAGTGAGGGAAATGGTAGTTGTAATCCTTCTGAAATTAGAGGGATTATAGTACTATAAAACCTGGCTAAATTGGATGAAAATCAGGCTCAGACTTGATCCAAAGTATTCTCTTTCCAATTTTATTTTTAATTTTATGATAGGTAAGGTTAGAATCCAGTCAGCAGCAAAGAAACCCACTAATTGCTCATTAGGAAATGCTCTGTAATTCCTTTGTTAGCTTTGCAGTTTTGCAGCAATTGGAATAGCTGAACTATCATTATAAAGATTAAAAACAATGGTCTGATAGTACTACATAAACCCTTAGGAGAATGAAGTATTTCTCCTTTTAAAAATCTTCCTCTACTGACAATAAAGTCTATTTTATACCTAGTCATAAGAAAAAGAAAATCTTTGATCTGCTAATAAAGTTCTAATCTCCCACTGCTCTAGTGTGCTGGTAACAAGAATTTTCTTTCTCTCCCATTAATAGACTGAAGATATTAAAGAGATAGCCCGCAAGACACAAGCCCTGCCAAAGGTGAACACTAAAAGGCAACGAATCGTAGTCTTTACCCAGGGGAAAGATGACACTGTAATGGCTACAGGTATATTTTTCAAATCTCCTTGTGCTGACAGTAAATATTCTAGTTAATCAATTACAAATTGTGGCTTTACAAATTTTAACTGTTACATGGTCATTGGAGCATTTGCTTTTTGATGTTAGTCCATGATTCTCATCGGTTACACTTTTAATGGTTTTAAGATTCTGAATTTAAGAAGTTAATATTTCACAAGAATGCCTGGAAATTTAGTTCTGAACATCTTAAGTTCTTTTTTTATAACATATATCTAAAATATTGATCCAGTTGGTTTTACTCAGATTTTTACGACTTGAGATTTTATCTGTGTAGCCATCTTTGCTGCAAACAAGAACACACTATGCCTGCTGAGAACAGCTGTGCAACAGTATAGTATATTTAAACATTTGTGAAGAGGAGGAAGTGAAATCCGGTACTAAGTGAATTTCCAGGCATTTTTGCTTTGAGCAGAAAGTCTCACTTTAGCTTTTCTCAGCCGTCTGCTCTTCTATTCTCAAAGGAGTACATGGGAAAAAGGTGTTCTAGCAGGGATACAAGTAGTTTGTGCTGTCTAAATTGATGATGTACGATGCACAGATTTGAGCATTATAAACATGACTGCCTACCTTTTGACAGTCTCTTTAATTCTGTCCACCTATGCTTCTAGACTAAATAAGCTATTAAAAACATGTGCTGTGGCAAGCCATTTTCGTCTTTCCTTTCTTCACAAGGTAAGTTATTAGTCAGGGCTGAATTCCTCCTTTGGAAATCAAGTGAAGTTGAGGAAGCTTTGCACCTGAGGGACTGGTGCTTACTCATGTGATATTTGCCTCCAAATCAGAAGTGGCTTCAGACTCTGGCTGCCTGGCTAGGCACTAAGTAGGTATGTCACTGCTATATAGATCATTCTTAGCAGCAGTTTGAATGATTTCTCCAACAGTTTGCTGTTTCCCCTATTTTCTTAGCTACAAACTGGTTTGAAGGAAATAGAAAACAGTCATTGAGGGATGGGCATGTGTATGTCACTGAATGATGGAAAAGTTGCATTACATGAATGGCCCATATGGAGGCACTCCACTTGAATATTGTACAGTTGGCTGAAAAATAACAGTATAAAAATGTTTTTATACATAAGCTAGTAATAACAGTAGTAAACCTAAATCTTATATGTAACCGTCCTGTGGTCTTATTTAATTTTCACTGTGTACTTATTTTATTCTTCAAACTGGAGTTGTTAACAAATCCATTAATCCCGTCTTTGATATTTTTACAACTGGGAGCTTATTTGAGGACTGACACTTGCTAATCTTAGCTGTTTGTTCGCTATGAAATGAACTTAAATTAGAGAATGCACTTTATATGCATGATAAATGCAAGATGGATAGAGAGTGTATGCAATGGTGTCAGCTACAAAAGCAAACATGATAAATGTTAAGGCAGTTTTGAGCCGTGGGATAAGCTATTCAGTGCACAAGCATAGCTGAATCTCTTTGCTATGTTGTTATTCATGGCAGCCAAATAAATGTCAATAATAAAAGAGAATTAAAGATTTTCATTTCCCAGAGGCAGTCCTCTAATACAGCTTGATCTTTCATTTCATTTGTAATTCGTTCTCATGTCAGGATGCAATCATTCGCCAGGCTCTGTGTGTCATGTTAAGTCATTTAATAATGATTAAGAACATAAAAATGTTTGGCCTGTGGGGCAGTTCTTGAAAGAGATGCCAATTTGTTATTGTTTTCCCCCTTTTTCGTTCCTTTGGTGGGGATCATCTTTTTCCCACGTCCTCACATTAAAATAATAATGAAAGAAGGAAAACGTGTCCCTTAATTTAGCATATGATGATACCACAGAATGGCATAGAGTATTGCTAACACACTTATTTCAACCCTAATTAGGTCTAGTTCTGCTTTGAAACCTGCAGTGGAAAGTGTAAAAAGTTTCTAAGTGCTAAGTGATCTTTGGAAGAATTACTGCATTTAGAACTAGTTACAGTATAAAATACATTTCCTTTTTCTAATGTACAGGAGTACATTTTTTGAAAAAGCTGGCTGTGTGCAGTTAACTATCCTGCCTTTCTGAGGAAACAATATAGTCTTGAAAAGTTTGTGCCTGGATTAAAATAGTATTTGCAAAGTCAGCTTTGGATTTGAATATACTTGTTGGTACCTTCTGCTTTATGTTTTGTCCAGGTTAATAATAGTAAAAACAGTATGTTTGTTAGCTGGAAGACTTTTCTGTCAGTAGTGACTCAGACAGAGGGGATCAGTATCCAGGCAAAGGACTCTACTCTTCCTTCCCTTCTACTACTGCTTTTAACTGTCCTTCCTCAGCAGTTGGGTAGGTCACATATTCCAGTGGTCTTAGTTTATGTCTGAAAGAGGACAGGATGGGGCTGGAGCTTACAGGTGTGGGAGTAAAAGACTGAGGTGAATTTGGCCTTTGTGGGTTTTCTTCCTTCCCTTGCCAATTTCCCCATGGAAAGGTCTTTGCTTTCTGGTAGCAGCACAGAGCAGCATTACTGTGAGCTGTGGGAGGAGAAGTGAACTCCTTTGATCAGGCTGCACTCTGTGAAGAGACACAGGTGCACGGCACATCCGCTTCTCCTTTCCCTTTCCAGTGCCCATGCATGGCAAGATGAGAGAGGCAATACTGAGGTTGTAAAAGCATCCTTAAAAGAGCTCCGTTTTCTCTGTCAAATCCTCTGTATACTGTCCAGGACTAGACAGCAATGGGGCTAGGCTGTGAAGGGGCTGGGTAATGGGAGGAGGTGTGCATCTCCTTAATGAGTTATGTGTAGGTTAAATGGGGGATCAGGTAATGGAAATAATGAAGGGATACACCTTGATACAGCTCTGCCTGGAAGGAGAGGAAATAAGATGGATAAAAGGGGTTGTTGCAGGTTGCCAGCTCATTTGTGAAAAGGCACAGAATTAATTATACATGCTGGAAATTAAGTGTGGATTTTGGGGGACTTTTTGGTGGTATGAAGACCAGTTACAGCTAATCATTGCATGCAGAGAATGCTATGGCAACAGTTGTTGTTGCTTCCTGGACATTCCAGAGAGTGGAAATATCAACAGGTATTTGCAGAGTAGAGCGTAGGGCAGAAAGCTGCAGTTTGTTACCAAAAAGAAAGATTGACCAGAAAGTTTTGAGAATGTAGCTCTTGCAGACGAGGAAACGAGCTTAGACTGAGACACTAAAACATCTACTTCCTTCAAAAATATGGCCCAGCCGTACTGCAAAGGTATTTAGTCATCCTATGAGTTGCTGCAGTTTACACAGCATTGTTTTAATGCCCACCAAAACCACTGTTGGCTCACCTCAGACTACGAGCTGTAGGCATTCAGGCATGGACTAACAAAGAACTTAGAGGTCCATGCAGCTGGAGCAGATCATGAAAATGGAGACAAGCAATAACTGCATCAGCAGTACCAGTCTAGGGCATTCCCATCTCTCAATCCACATTCTTCAGCTGTCTGAATTATTTGTATTTTCAGAGGAAAAATTTTCATCTCTTTATCATGGAATGCATTGGGTCTTTCTACTGTCTATTCGTATCTCTTCTGTCATAGTACTCCAGCCTCAAGGCCCCTTTTCCCTCCCCTTCCTTCCTGTTCTCTGTCAGTTGGAATAATTACAAGGAAGAGGCAAGCTCAAATTCAAGCTGAGTGTGATCAGTGTATTTTATAGGGAAGGAAAGAAGTGTTTAGTATTGGCACACAGGAGCTGTGGCAGATGAAATGTTGACTAAATTATCAGCTTCTAAGACTCCACAGAGCATGTGCAAATGATCATGGTCTGAGGTTTTCCTCTTCGTGTCATGGAATCATAGAATGGTTTGGGTTGGAAAGGACCTTTAAAGGTCATCTAGTCCAAACCTCCTGCAATAAGCAGGGACACCTTCCACTAAACCAGGTTGCCCAAAGGTTTGTCCAGTCTGACCTTGAATGTTTCCAAGGATGGGGCATCTGTCACCTCCCTGGGCAACCTGAGGTGCATTTTTTGATGATGTCAAATTATATTATTTCAGGTTTTACTGAAAACCTTGAAGGCATTGGGTCTTCTCAGTGACCCTAAGGATCAACGCTGACAAAAATGTCATTTTGTCTAGCATTAGTCCTCACCATGGCTGAATTTCGATTCAGCCTGTGAGAGACACCTGTGATGAAACCATTTAGTACAGAGAGAGGATTATGCTTTGGGAAAGGTACCGAAGATAGGATCTGTGGACTTCCTTAGCGGAAAAGTTCATTTGAGGAACACTATTGGGTTAATTATTTTTGTGGATGCTCCTCATACATGCTGGGAATTACTTGGCTATCAAGACTCTGGTCTTACTACCACAGCCATGTTCCATTATATCCCTCTTCCCAGGCCTGAGATTCTGGATTTGAGTGAGGGTTCCTGCGCTTATGGGATACATTCGTTTCACGTTTCAATGCTTTTTTCTGTGACCACAGAAATACGTATGAGGAAAACAAGGGGAGTTAAATGAATACATGCAGTCTCCTGATTTCAGCAGTTGGAGCTTTTAAGAAACGTACCAAAAATCACAAGCTCTGGCAAGAACATATATGTCATATCTATATGTGTGCTGTAACATTTGTCAGAATCAAATGCTGTGAAAGCTATCCCTTTTACAGAGTTGTTCATAACATTTTTAAACAAATTACTTTTAGTCAGATACATTTTATGACTGGTCTTGGCCCAAAGGGAAATCTTTGGAAAGTCTGAGCAAAATCAGTTCAGCAATGGAAAAACACACTTTTATATTGAAATATTTGCATAATTAAGAAACAGCTGAAGCTACAAACTTTAAACTTGGCTTGTTTTATGGCTCTAATAGAGGAAAGAAAAACAATCCAAATTTAAAGAAAATCACTTCAGCATTTTTCAAGTTATGAATGATGAAATCTGGCATGTTCAGACATGAACATAGAATTTTCCATTCTTTTTCCCCCCAATGTTTGCAAGACCACCTCTGTTAAGGGCACATTTGTAATAACCTCATTTGTTAGAAT